AAAGCTCAGTATTGCAAACTTACTCAAACTATAACCTCTCCTTGGAGTCTCACAATTTCATGGCATCTTGGAACTGAAGTTCCAGTTCTAGACTTTTATTATAACTAAAAATATTTTTTAGCCACATTAGTACATTTCTTTTTTTTTCACCATTGCATACTCCTTTAATAGAATTTTGTCATATTGCTAACTGAAAGGAAAACATTCAATTGTTTTGCTAGATAAGGTATTTTATGAAATTCCAATATTCATTCTTGAAAATACTGATGAAATTAGAATAGTGCATTTCTTTTTTTTAAATAGATTTATTCCAGTTTTTTATGTGGAAATAAATTTTCCTGAGATAACTTGGTATATACCTATCCAGATTGTAGCATTTCCCTACTTTCTAAATTAAATGTTGTTGTATGTGAATTTTGGCTTCACAGTGGCATATGTATATTTTTTTTTATTTCAGGGTATTATGAGGGTACAAACATTATGGTTACATTTTATGTCTTTGCCTCACCCAAGCGAGGGTTAGAGGCATGCCCTTCCCCTCTACAATGCTCCCCATGTTCTTTAGTTGCGGGTTTACCCCTCTCATCCCCCTAATCCCTGGAGAATATTACTGCCATGTGAGCACCCTGGTATTCATCAGTTAGTACCAATTTGATGGCGAGTACAAATGGAGCCCCTTCTTCCGATCTTGTGATACCTCACTTTGGATAATGGATTTAAGTTTAATCCGGGAAAATATAAGAGGTGCTAGATCACTGTCGTTTCTTATGATTGAGTAATATTCCATTGTATACATATACCAAATTTTAATAATCCACTTATGGATTGACGGGCACTTGGGTCGTTTCCACATCCTTGCAATAGTGAATTGTGCTGCCATAAACATTCGGGTGCAGATGTCTTTATTATAAAATGTCTTTTGCTCTTTTGGGTAGATGCCTAATAGTGCTATTGGTGGATCGAATGGTATTTTCAAAAGAAGACAGAATAATGGCCAGCAAACATATAAAAAAATGCTCAACATCTCTAATCATTAGAGAAATGCAAATCAAAACCACAATGAGATAATCACCTAACCCCACTGAGATTGGCCTCTATCAAAAAATCCCAAAACAACAAATGCTGGTGAGGATGTGGAGAGACAGGAACACTCTTATACTGCTGGTGGGACTGCAAATTCGTGCAACCTCTGTGGAAAAGAATTTAGAAATACCTCAGAGAGCTAGAAATAGTGCATTTCTTTATTGCTTGTTTCTTTTAATCTCTAAAGCCTTAAGTATTTGTGCTCATTTCATGGTATTCCATGTTAAATTATTTGACCTATACCATATCATAGCAAAGAAGACAGTCATCTTTTGTTAAGTGTTAGCATACAAATCAAGTTATTTGAAGAATTGCTACCATTTTATTCATTGATTCCCAGAAAATGTTATTTTGCCCAAACAATGCAAGTAAAATGTACTTCGTGTCTTTTAAATACACACACACACACACACACACTTGTAACATCAAACCAGTATTAACTAGAACACTGTTCTGCAGAAAGGATCATAATTTGAAATTCATGAATTACTTTGCCAACTGAATTAATCTCAATACTTGAAGTAGAAAATTGGGATTATAGATACAATCCATTCATTTATTCAGCAGATACTTTTCATCACCTGTTTTAGGTGCTGGAGTTTAATGTTGTCATAATAGCAGTCAGTATAAAGAAATGATAATATGATTAAAGAAATGAGTCTAGAAACAGTCATGAACTGTGTGCTTACTACATAACCAGATCAAACTGATCTGTCAACCCAAACAAGTGGAGGTCCCCAGGAGGAGGGCATGCCTACCAACAGCATTCCCCTGGTTGTCTGTGTTTAAAGGGCAGGTACAAGGACATTTAGTGAAGTATGTAAAATGCAGTTTAAGCACGTAGGCCTTTTCTTGTGCTGAAACTTGTAAAGCCATTCAGGTAAGACAGATTTCTGTTAACATTAAATAAGTCATGAACAAACGTAAGTCGTACCACAAACAGTTTAATTATCAATGTATGGCAGGTATATGGGTAAATTTCTCTGATGTATCCTCTACCTTAAGCTACCAGAAAAAAGAGTAATTATTTCCTGAGCCTCAAGTGATTAAAAAAGATTTAGTGCTTTTGAATCAGTAAAATGAGGCAGACAGTTGTAATGTTTTAAAAGACACTACTTAGCTTTTGTTAACTAAAATAATTAACAAGGTTTATACTTTGGAAAAAGGAGAGCTTTGTTTCTCATAAAGGGTAGCAGCCTGTTGGGCAGCCATTCCAATAGGCTGGAAAGCAAAGCCCCAGCCAGAAACCCCGGTACCTGTGCTTCAAGAGGACAGACAAAAGCCACAAGATTTTATACTGAGTGGGGTGGTCAAATGCACATAATTCAACAAGCTATAGGAGTCATGAATATTTATGAAAAAGGGAAATAATGTGCATTTGTAGCTGTGCTTTATCTCTCCCATCCTGTAATGGCTGAGAACTCAGTTTCAAGGTGTTTCTGGGGTTCCTTGGCCAAGAGGAGTCCATTCAGTTAGCAGAGGGCTTTAGGATTTTATTCTTAGTTCGCAGCTTGCTATTCTGTTGCATTTGAAAAAAAGCAGGACACAGTATGGTCAACTCTTTTAAAAAAATTATATTAGAAGAAAAGATGGACAGGAAACATATCAAATTGTTAGTAATATCTGGTGAATTCACAAGTGACCTTTTTTTGGTCTCTTTTATGATTTCATCATTATTTATATATTTCTACAGTTCATGAGTATTACCTTTCAGAAAAAAAGCAAACAATTTTAATGAATTAATGCTTAGAGAACAACAGGTTGACAAATATTTCCTAGTCACTTTTGTTGTGTGTTAGTGGCCATGAGTATCTGTGATTTTCTGGCAGTGTAGAAAAGGTAGAGGAACACCCTGTAGTAAAGTTAGCCTGTAGCATTATATGACGAGAGCATCTCTTTTCAAAGGAAAGTTGCATGTTAAACTCAGATTTGTTAATTGGCTTTACTTAACAAATCAATCCTTTGGGAAAGTCACAAAACTTGAACTTTTGACTACTTTTAATGTGTGATTTGTTTATTGCAGTTTTTAATGGAGTTATGGTCTTGTTTAACACATGTAATATCTGTGATTTTTCTCCCTGGCAGAATGACATCTTTTTTTTTTTTTTTTGAGACAGAGTTTCACTCTGTTGCCCTGGCTAGAGTGCCGTGGCGTCAACCTAGCTCACAGCAACCTCAAACTCCTGGGCTCAAGCCATCCTCCTGCCTCAGCCTCCCAAGTAGCTGGGACTGCAGGCATGCGTCACCATGCCCAGCTAATTTTTTCTATATATTTTTAGTTGTCCAACTATTTCTTTCTATTTTTAGTAGAGACAGGATCTCACTCTTGCTCAGGCTGGTCTTGAACTCCTGAGCTCAAATGATCCTCCCCTCTCGGCCTCCCAGAGGGCTCAGATTACAGGCGTGAGCCACCGCGCCCGGCCCAGAATAACATTTTGATGCGACTGAAGGGAAGGTTGAAAGTGACATTGCAGATGACGGTATATGGTCATCATCGGAGCGGGGAAAAGGAAGACTCCTAGTGGGACAGCGCTAAGTGCTTTCTTTTTACTAGTATGGTTACTTTAATCCTCAGAAAAGCCCCACAAGGCAGTTGTTATCCCCATAATGCAGCTGAGGAAATGGAGGCTCCGAGTGTCACAAGCCCCAGGCCTGCTGTCAGCAAGCTGTGCAGCCCAGATGAAGTGGGGGTCTCTTTCTGGGCTTGGCTGTGCCCCGCAGCCGCGCGCTGCCTTTATGTCCTCTCCTCTCGGGAGCCGCTGATGAAGGAGAGGGGAGGCTGCCTGGAAGTAGGTACTGTGTGCTAGTAAAATCACCACCGTTTTTCTGGCTACGAAAGAAAAATTAAGGAGTAGATAAATTTTCCAAATATATGTAAATCTGTTTATAAATGGTAAGAAATCAAATCCAGACCTTTTGCATCAGAAAATGCTTACATGAAGCTGGGACTATGTCAACAAACAGGGAAAGCCTTGTAGATGGTAAAAGAGATGTTAATACTATATGGCATGTGTAGTTTGCCTAGTCAAGGATTTATAAAGAATACTGAAATATTTTTCCCTCCTCTGGACTTTTGTCAGACCTGACACCCCCCCCCCCCCCCGGTCTGAAAAGCTTGCAGCCACCAGGGAGGCTGGGTGCTCTCCGTTCCTGGTTGCGCCAGGCAGCTCGCCCAATGTGCCACCTCCGGGGCTCTCCTCTAGGTGTGTGTGATTTGCAAGCATTCTGTGGCCCATTTTCCACCAAAATCACTCAATAATTAGATGGAAACTTTTCAAAGTAATATTCCCAAGGTAACTCACTTCATCCAGGCTGTGAGTGTTGCGGTGTCGTATTTGTGACCCATCATACTGCTGTGTGTGCCAGTAAGGATTTTGCCTGGCGGCTGATGATGTGAGCGTGCAAATGGCACGTCCAGTGTCACAGTGTCAAAGCGTCGTCTTGAGGAGAATGTAATTTTAATTAGATTTCCTCCAAATGGACTCATGCAGCTGTTATCCTAAGCAAATAAAAATATCATACAGGGAGGCGGCAGAGGAGGAGAAAAAAATAAAAATAAAATAAAAAAAAAAAATCATGTATAGTAAAAAGCTTTATTTCAGTTTTCTGCAAATGTCCATGTAATTCTGTACTTCGCTGTCACATCTAACATATAACTTTTACTTAGTGTTTTCACAACCAAAAAAATCCATTTATTGATAAATATTTCAATAAGTATAAGCACGTATTCTTGATTATGGTGAGATTTACTTCATGTTAAGGTCTTTTGTGGGTAGGGAGAAGTTATATAATCTGTTCCTCTGTGTCATTCTGGTCAAGATAATTGTTTTTTTCATAATTATAGTGAAAAATAGACATCTCTGCAGAAAATCAGTTTCTTCCTAGCTGAAGAATATCTCTTTCACTTTTGTTTCTAGAATCCTCGGCCTCAGGAAAGCCGGACCGTGTTCAGCGGCTCAGTCAGTATTCCGTCTATCACCAAATCCCGCCCCGAGCCAGGCCGCTCCATGAGCGCTAGCAGTGGCCTGTCTGCGAGTAAGTGGCCCGGGCTGCGGGAAGGGGCTCTCCCGGCAAAGCTGCCCCCAGCTGCCTCTCCGCCAGTCCCATGGGTGCCATGTTCTTCACTCACACATGCTCGGCCATTCCCAAGTGGCAGCAGTGTCACAGACCCTGGTGGGTAATACCTGGTGGGCACAAATAGTCCTGGAGGCCTTCTAGAGCTTACAGGCTATCCGGAATGCACACAGACAAATTTGATTATAAATTGTGACGGTAAATGCTCTGAAGGAAATAAACAGGGTGTGATAATAGAGAGTAACAAGGGGTAGCTGCGGGGGATGAATTCCTACTTAGAATAATTAGGAAGCTCACATGCCTTTCTGGCGGTGGAGACATGTTTGAGTTATGTTTGGTTAACTGGAAGAAGACCAGTGCACCTACATGGTGGTAGTAAGGGAGTGAAAAAAAATAGAGCGGGAGAGGCAGATACGGGTCAGATCAGCAGGAATATGAAGACCAAGGTAAGACATTTTTTATTTTATTCAAAATGCAAAGGGAAGCCTTTGGAAAGTTTTAAGTAGGGAAGAATCTTTATTCACTTTGCATTCTTAAAACGATCACTCTGGCTGTGATGGAGAGTGGTTGGAGGCAGCGAGGGTGGAAGCCAGCATCTGAATGGGGTCGCACAGTGGTCCAGGTGGAGGCGGGCGAGGGCGAGGGATGCGGCAGTGGCAAAGGAGAAGAGAAGGGAGAGAAGGAGGTAGATTCTTCAGAGACAATTTCCGAGGTAGGAACAAGAAGACTTGATGATGAATTAGTTGTGGGAAAATAAGGCGGAGGGAAGAGTATAAAGACGACTCCTAGGTTTGTGCTAGAGCCTTAGGGTGATGCCATGTACTCCCATTTACCCCGTTTCAGAGGGGACTGCGGTGGGACATTCCAGGCATGTGCAGAGGTCCCAAGTCAGGAAGAAAATTAGCACGTTTGATTAGCTGAAAGAAGAAGGCCAGAGACAGAGTCAGGAATATGCCAATTTACCACAAAAGTGAGAGAACATTTGTCATTCGTCCCGTACACGTTTGAGGCTCCATTAGATACAAACTTTTCTTCTAAGGTAGTGGAAGTAGACTCATAATGACCGAGGGCCTGTTTTCATTTGCCTCACGATCTTTACTGTTAGCCTCTATTTTTTTACTCTACCCTGAACTGCAGCATCTCTTTTCTATATTTGAACAGAACCCTGAGTTAAGGGTCTCTAGAGAGAAAAACACTGTGCTCCGCGGTAGACTAATGTTCAACTACAGCCCAGGAGCAACTTTTTGGTGGGGGAGGAAGGGGAGGGAAGATTCTGTCTACCTGAATAAAAGTATACAAGGATGCTCAAAGCTGCAGACCTCAGAGTTAGAGGAATGTACGGGTGGAACATCTGGCTGATTAAAGAAATTAAAATTTAGTTTCATCAAATTAGCTGTGATCTTTTATGTTTCCTGGATTATTAGCAATGAGGTTATAGATTGTCAAATGATCAGTGTAGCTTTTGATTTGGGGAAAACTGTTCTTGGCCAAAGGGTTGTTGTTCTGTAACTTTCTCAAATGTGTGCTTTCCCGGTAGCACAGCATTGGCTTAGAGATCAAAGAGAGTATAACTTGAGTGTGCCAACATAAATGCAGTCTCAAAATGTATCGGTTGCAACTTTAGTGAGACCTTTCTTCACTTCTATACAAGTAAACTCCAACAGAAACTAATTGCACTAAATCCAATTTCACATTTAAAAAGTCATTTTAGCCAGGTGCGGTGGCTCACACCTGTAATCCCCACACTTTGAGAGGTGAAAGCGGGAGGATCACTTAAGACCAGGAGTTCTAGAGTAGCCTGGCAACATAGCGAGACCCTGTCCCTACAAAATATTAAAACAATTACCCGGGCCTGGTGGCACATGCTTGTAGTTCCAGCCACTAGGGAAGCTGAGGCGAGAGGATCACCTGAGCCCAGGTGTTCAAGGTTGCAGTGAGCTGTGATTGAGCCACTGCACTCCAGCCCAGGCAACTGAGTGAGGTCCTGTCTGTAAAAATATAAAAAAAAAAAAAAAAAAAAAAGACCGGGCGTGGTGGCTCACACTTGTAATCCTAGCACTCTGGGAGGCCGAGGCGGGCGGATTGTTTGAGCTCAGGAGTTCGAGACCAGCCTGAGCAAGAGCGAGACCCCGTGTCTACCAAAAATAGAAAGAAATTAATTGGACAGCTAAAAATATATAGAAAAAAAAAATTAGCTGGGCATGGTGGCGCATGCCTGTAGTCCCAGCTACTTGGGAGGCTGAGGCAGGAGGATCACTTGAGCCCAGGAGTTTGAGGTTGCTGTGAGCTAGGCTAACGCTGCGGCACTCACTCTAGCCCGGGCAACAAAGTGAGACTCTGTCTCAAAAAAAAAAAAAAAAGGTCAGTCAGTCAGAAAACTTACTTGTTGCCCTGTATTCTTGAATGTTAGGTATTTGAATTCCAGTCTCCTGATGCAGACTGAGTTTCCTTCATTCATTTGTTGTTTATTCAGCAAACAGCCCAGGTATTGATTTCAGGCTCCAGCAATGTAAAGATGCATGAGGCTGTTTTAGTATCTCTTGTATGTCTTGCTGCATCTCTTCTAACTTAGAAGCTTAAAATAGCAGACATCATTTCACATAGTGTCTTAGGGTCAGGGATCTGAGAGCATCGTAGGCTGACTATTTCTCACTGAAGGTTTCTCATGAGGTTGCAATCAAGCTATCTGCTGGGGCGATAGTCCCCTCAAGGTTCAACCATGACTAAAGGTTGGGCACGGGCGCGGTGGCTCATGCCTGTAATCACAGCCCTTTGGGAGGCTGAGGCGGGACGATCACTTGAGGCCAGGAGTTGGAGACCAGGGGCCACGATACAGCGGTTAGACTTCCTGTCCATCAGGGGAGGATGACTCTGGGGCTTGGCAAGAATGGCCGGTCAGCTGAGCAGTCTGCACGCTCTCTAAATTATTGTCTTCTTCCACATACATAAAATTTTGCCCGCTTGATGTGCTGTAGGGTCATCTGCACAGAATGGCAGTGCATTAAAGAGGGAATTCTCTGGAGGAAGCTACAACGCAAACCGGCAGCCCATGCCCTCCCCATCAGAGGGCTCTTTGTCTTCCGGAGGCATGGACCAAGGAAGCGATGCCCCAGCGAGGGACTACGACGGAGAGGTGAGTGACACGTGGGTAGCAGCTATGCCTAGAGGCAGGGTTTTGGAGACATCAAGTATCAAAGAGACTAGTGCATTCACCCAGTAATGCCACCACCTGGGGGTTGGCCTCAGCCGCAGCATGCGTCGGCATCCACTGTCTGCCAGGGAACAGCAGAGCCAGTCACTTGGGTTGCAAACTGCAGTTTTCCTAGGGGTGTTCAGACTTCTGACAGTTTTTGTATGAAAATACCTACATTTCTGAAGGCCTGCAGAAAGGACTCTGAGCATTTTTTTTGTTCTGTGCCTCTTACTTAGCTTGAAGCCCCTTAAGGTCGTTTGGTCAGGGTGGCTGGAGGGGTGGTAACCCGAGTCATCCTGTCTTCCCTCCTCCCTCTGCTTCTCATTACGTTTTACTTTGGGCCTTACAGGACTCTGATTCTCCGAGGCATTCCACAGCTTCCAACAGTTCCAACCTGAGCAGCCCCCCAAGTCCAGTTTCACCCCGAAAGACCAAGAGCCTCTCTCTGGAGAGCACTGACCGCGGGAGCTGGGACCCGTGAGCTGCTTTCGTGCTGGGACCTGGGTGCCAGGTGGCTCTGGTTCTCAGCTCCCCCCACTCGCCTCTTCTCTCACTTTCATCCCTTCGCCCCACTCAGCCTGAAAACGACCCGGGGCTCGTAGCAGTAGCAGGGTAGGGATTCGGGAGTTCTGACGACACGACTCGCAGATCCATGCCCCCTCAGCCTCAGCAACAGCAAAGGCAGATTTTGATTAAGGAGCTTAGATTAATATTGATTTCATTCCATACTCCTAGAGTTGCTTTCAATACTGTTTTACTCCTTCCCCAAAAGGTAGCTTAAATAGACAGATTACACAAATGTAAGCGATAAGACTAAGACTAGACAGATTTTGTTTTCACAGCAGAGTTTCATTATAGTCCTGAAATAGCTCGTGGGATTCTCCACGTCCGAAGGGGAGAGTCCAACCCTGAAGCTGCACACTGAGCTCTCTTTGAGCAACCGCGGCGAGCGTCCACTGACTGTTGCCAGGAAATCCTTTCGAATTAAAGCAGTGCATATTTTACTACAATACAGAGTTTAAATGAATACATAAATGTAGAAGTTAAATACTGAATGTATATAGTCAAAAGAAGCATCTTGTATTCAGTGAAAGATGGATGCATATATAAGAGAAAGAGATCATTTAATTTAAAGAAATTGTGTTGTTTCTTATCTGTTTCCCAGCTAAGTGAGTAACATAAAGGGTAGACAGGCCTCAAGCTGACATTGCTAGAGGGAGAGCCGGAGGAATCGGAGTTCCCTTTAGTGCCCTGTCCTCAGAAAGGCTGCAGTCACTGGAGAGCTGTAGTTTGCACTGTGACCTGGAACCAGAGTTTTAACATCTGAAGCCACTTCAGCAGCAGCATGAAAAGGCAAACCCACCTCTACCCAAGCTGTTTCTTTTTCTAGTGGTAGAATGGGAAGCACACTTCTCATTTTTTATTATGTTTTGATATCTTCTGCTGATGAATGTAAAAATACAATTCTGTCCCCTCTGATCCCTTCCAGTTGAAAGGGCACAGGGAGTGTCGTGGCTTCTGAAGGTCCATGAAAGTTTCGTCCAAGCGCTTTTTCTCCTGGGCTAATCCTGTTCCTCCCCAAGTCGCAGTAAGAGGTGCGTCCCAGGGCTGGAGTCAGCTTCCCAGGGAGGAGTCTGTTTGTTGAGGGTGGATGTGAGCACCCAGATAAGCCTGAGGGGAAGGTTTTTGTTACCAAATAATATAAAACCTCAAAAGCAAGGACTCGAACAGCCTTAACCAAATGTTCTTTCCCACGCCCACTGGAAACCGGCTGTGATGGAGCGGCTTGCAGGGCAGGACGTGAGCCCGCATGGCCGTGCGGACTGGCGTCCTCGCTCCACTGTCGCTAGTTCCGTGTCCATTCGGATTCCTGCTGCTTTAGTTGCCGTAAGGAAATGAGATGCAGAACCAGAAGAATTTATTTCAACAGAGTCATTTTACCAGTTAAGCACATGAGAAGGATATAAAAATATCTCATGGAAGTAAAGAGTTTCTACTTCTCTTTTACTTTTTGTCTAAGTTTCTCTGAGAAATAGAAACAGGATTTTCTCTTCTTTTCTTTAAAATTGAGCAAAAATGAAGGAGGTTTCCTGCAGTTGCTAATCCAGGTTGCATGTTCAGACCCTGTCATTTGACCACTCGCTGCCTTTCCGTGAGTGCCAGCCCCCCCGCGCTGTCGGGGCACTGGGCCGTCCACGCTGGTGCCGTACGGAGATTGCTGAGGTTCAGCGGGGGAGGAAAGGGTCCTGGTGGGGATGATATTGCAGACACTTAGAATAGAGAATTAAAAAAATAGAAGCTTTGACACTTCAACTTTCTGGATTTGGTGCTAGCTCAAATTTGATTATATTTTATTTTGGATGGGCATAATTCGCTGCACGTTCTAATTTCCCAAATATTTTTGCTTTTTGAAAAGTGTAAAAATACTTTTGTACATCACAGTTTCAAGAGTTGGACCTCAAGTTGGGTTGTTGCCATCTGACTTTGGTAGCTCCCTAAACTTGGTACTTGGAGGAGAGGAGGGAACCCTCTCTCCAGCCAGCTGCTGGGTGCTCGTGACCAGCTGCCGTTACCCTTCTCACCCTCCTGTCCTCTCCTGTCCTCTCCCATCACCCTCTCCTCTCTCTCTTCTCTTCCAAGGCAGAGAGGAGACAGACCCAAGCCGAGACTCTACACCAAGCCATTAGTTTGTAAATTGTGGATTTTTGTTGTCTATAGGTGCTTATTTTTCAAAGGATGCTTTTAGGATCAAAATATAACCCTACCTAAAGTCTGGGCTCCACTACAGTGAGTCAGACTGTCCCAGGCAGATGGGAGAGTTGCTGAGGCTTGTCTTGGCTGCCAGGCTCGCCGGGCACCTTGTTCACATTAACCCCATGGATCGCACCGCGGCACTTTGATTTTCCCTGCCACCGTGAGTAGTCTCATCAGTCACAATAGAGCAGTCTCAAGTGTGTTCAGGACTGTGGGAGAGAAACACTGCTGGGATTTTAGTTTTGAGGAGGATTTTCCCAAGATAATGATCAGCCTACTGGTCTTGTCCCATGCTTAAATATGAAGCCTGTTACTCTCAGAAGCTTCTGAGAGGAATGATTTGAAAGAGGGGGAATGGGTTCACAGAAAAGGTGTCTTAATTGCTGTCTGAAGTCATCCTTTGTTTTCATGCAGGGAATTTTAAAAATGCATATGGCAGGCCGGGCGCGGTGGCTCACGCCTGTAATCCTAGCTCTCTGGGAGGCCGAGGCCGGCGGATTGTTTGAGCTCAGGAGTTTCGAAACCAGCCTGAGCAAGAGCGAGACCCTGTCTCTACTAAAATTAGGAAGAAATTAATTGGACAATTAAAAATATATAGAAAAAATTAGCCGGGCATGGTGGCGCATGCCTGTAGTCCCAGCTACTCGGGAGGCTGAGGCAGGAGGATCACTTGAGCCCAGGAGTTTGAGGTTGCTTTGAGCTAGGCTGACGCCACGGCACTCTAGCACAGGCAACACAGTGAGACTCTGTCCCAAAAAAAAAAAAAAAAAAAAAAATGCATATGGCAGCAGGAACTACTTTCTCAGTAGAAAGAAAAAATACATTCAAAGGCATTTCTGAGATAGTTTGTATGTGTTGGTATTTGGTGCTATCTATGTCCAGCCAATTTGTTATCTACCCTTGAATTCTGACTAATTTTGTCATGTGTTTGGGTGTATAAAATTACATACATATATATGTTTCTTTTTGCCAAAAACAAAAGCCTTCCCCCTTGTCCAGTGATTGCTAAAGCAGATGTCATTCTTTAGTTATTAAATATACATATATTTATGCACACATACCCGCACACTTAGTGATTTATGTTCTTGCCCAGGGGAGCACAGATTTAAGGCTATGAGAGATAACTACAAATGGCCCATCTATTTGGTTTTCCAACCAATTCTTATACTCGAGCTTCAGGGGAGAATCTGAAATTCCTGTCATGTTTACAACAACAATCTGTCATTTCCAGCCGGCTCTCAGCCTCCCCTTCCATATGGTTAGACTCATGTCATTTTGTTACTTAGTGGTCACATCTATTTCCAGGAAAGACCAGTTGCATTTATGTGGAATCTCAGGTATCATTAAGGAAAAGTCAGAACAGGGGGGTGGGCGGACACCCTAACCTGTCAGATGCAGCAGGGCTGTCTGCCAGCCCTTGGCAGGGTCACCAGCACCATTGTTTCCCAGCTGAGTGGGCCTTGCCAAGTGCGTGGCTCACCGTCCACTCTGGACGGGGGCACTCGGCAACCTGCGCTCCTGCCGCGGTTCAGACCACCACAGCCACGTCTGCTGAGCGCAAGGGGATTCACTGGGCTCTTCGCTCCCCCGCCTCTCTCTGGCCCAGCCCTGATCTAGATAAGCTGCATGGCACTTCCTCGAGCCCATTTTAAAACCTCTTTCCTTGTTATCACTTTAATTATTACTCAAGTCCAGAGTTCTCCGTGGACTCCCGCTAGATAGGGAGAGCCTTGCTTCCAACGGAGCGCGGCTCCCACCCGGCACTGGCGGCAGGCCGGCGTCTCCTCCTCCCCAGGGACAACTGTTCCCCACGAGACGCGTTGCAGTTAGTGGGGAAAACTGACTCACATCAACCTTGAAATCTCATGAAAACAAAATGACCTGCCTTTTTATTTGATAGTGTAATATCATTTATTTTATAAATTTTTAAGGGTTTTTCTCATTGTAATACTACTGTACAGTTTTGCATGGCCTGGGTGTGATCATTTTTTGTTTAGAATATAATGCTGACAAATACGTGTATATGGAGGAGACAAGACCTTGCTTCGGCCTCTTATTACTCCTTGTTTCATTTTGTTTGGTTTTATGCCCTCAGTGTCTTAGGGAACCGTATGAGATTCTCTGCTACCAAACAATATGTGGAACCTTTTGCACAGAAATATTTAAGGTGGGATAGTAAAAAATGTAACAAGACTCCTCACCAATATTTTATGTTGGTATCACTTAATATTAACCAGACTTTGATGTATTGCAATAAAACAGGGAGCTGTTAGAACTGAGTATTTTGTCTTTTTTCCTCCCATTTAAGAAGTTTGAGGAATGGAGAAAAGGTGCCTGGCTTTCCGCCTCTTACTCGATCTTGCTTTCTGCCATTTCGCTCCTCATCCAGGCTTCCTCCTCGCACTGCCGAAGAACATGGGGCTAGTTTTGCCACCTGTGGCTTAATCTGGGACTTGTGTAGTTTCTTCCTTAGCTCAGGTAAGAATAATGTGAAATTCTCTTGATTGAAGCTTCCAACTCCCCTCTTCTGGTCAAAACTTCCTGATTACTGCAAGACCAAGCTCTACCTACCTGAGGTTTCCTGAGTGGCCCTGACAGTGCAAACGTGGGAGCAGTTTGATTTTGTCTGCTTATTGAGGAAAATCAGTAGCCACTTAAACAAGAGTTACTGTTACTGCTTTTGTTAAGTTAGAAGGGTACATCTAAGAACACACAGGTAACGTCGGGTGGTCTTGACAAAGGAAATCCTCAACTGTGGCAGCAGTTAAGTAATTTCTGAGAACCCTCCCTGTTCCCATATAATTGACATTTTTACTGTCATGGATGCGTTGGTTTGTTAAAATGTATGCTGGGCTAGAGGCAGCAGCTGTGCAGTGGTTTAAAACAGGGCTTGGCAAACTTTTTCTGTAATGGGCCAGTTAATATTTTTGGGTTTGTGAGTGTTATAGTCTGTTGCAGCTGCTTTGCTTGTATAGTGCAGAAAGTCTTAGTCTAATATGTAAATGGATGAGTGGCTGTGTTCCAATAAAGTTGGAACCACAGTCTGCCTGCCCTTGGTTTAGACTAGGCCTAGAGTAGCCCGTAAGACCAGACTGTCTTATTCTAAAAGTCCTGGTGCCAACACGACTTCTGAGCCTCATTTTTCTCTTCTATAAAAATGCCCACTTTGAGTGTCAGAGGCGTTTATACACAAAAGTACTTAGAATAATGGCTATGGCCTGGGCTTACTGTCTTGTCATTATTATTAACCATCAGAGCCTATGGTAACAAATACTCTTTTTTCTGTGCTACTACGTGTCTAGCCCTTTAATAGGTGTTAGGGATACAAAGACAGTCCCTGGAAAATGAGACCGTGATTTGCCACGTTCTGGTGCCATATGTCTTCCCATGCTAGTAGTAGGCACAGGGAGGCATTCAATCACGTGATACTGTGGAAGTCAGAATAGGTACAAAAGAAAAAGTGTGTGTGGCCAGTTTCAGGGCTGACTTTACTCGGGGATTGGAGTCACTTACAGTCCCCACTGATCCCCACTGTCGTGTGCAACCCTCTCAGTTGCAGCTGGCTGTCACACTTAGGCACAAAACCACATTCCAGTTTCCCTTAGAAAATTCCTCTTCTCCCAGCAGTTATGGTCAGTGGTTCTTGGGGAAGCAAATACTTGCTCTGTCCTTTGTTTTGTCCCCTCCCGTCACCTTCATGCTGCTGCTCCATCTGTTCGGGTTGAGAGGAAAAGGCTGTGAGCCCTGCCCAGGGCTGGCCTGGGTTGTGCCCCTCCTCTTTGCCTGGCAGGGTGGTGGCTCCAGATCTGAGCATGGCAGGGTGTTTGCTAAAGAGCAGTCCAAACTTTCAGAGGGCTGAGAGAGCTCTAGCAGGGGATCTGACAGTGGGGCTGGGGGCACCCTGCTAGCCAAGCCAGGTGGCCTCGGGGAGACCACCCAGGTCCCTCCATCCTGTCATGTCCATTGCTCAGCAATCCCAAATCTCAGAAAGTAAAGTGAAGCCTGAAAATCTATACAAGGATCTAGTTTGGACCCCGGTGGTCTTTGCACATGCACTTTGAGGGTGCTCGTGGGGCTGCTGGAGGGGCCCCCCGAATGTCCAGAGCGCCCCCATTATCTAGGAATCACGTTAGCCCCAGGAAAAGTCACTTTTCAGGAAATGGTCATCTACAGCCTCTAGAAGGGTCCCCCTGTGATGCAGGCCCAGCATGGCCCTGCGGGCAGGTGTCACAGTCCTCCCACAGTTGCCAGCGTCACCAATGTGGAGCCTGCAGGGGACCAGGGCGGTGACACTGCTTCTTCCAGCCTCCACCCCGCCTCCCCAACCCCTCTCCTTATACAGTGAATGTGGCTGAGCCTTCCACGTTCAGGGACTGAGGACCTCACGCTGGGGACAGGTACAAGCCCTGCAAACAGGCTGTGATGCCAACCTCTGCTGTCACCATCGCGGCAGAGCACCCTTTATGGGGAAAGAACCACCACGATGCTAGAAGGTATGGGTCAGCATTCTCCAAGATTCATAAAGCACAGAAAATGGCACAAGCACCAAAGCGCTTTTCACAAGCACTTTTTTTATTGAATTTAAACTAGATAATTATAAGACTTGTACAAAAATTCAGAGCCTGTGATGACCCTTTGGTAGAACGAGCGACACCCGTGCATCTCCTCTGGCAGTGGCCCCGGCAGGGAGGAGCCTTCCAGCAGCAGACGAGGTACGTGTCTCGGTTCCCTGGCCCACTGCTGCGACCCCTCCCCTGTGAGGCAGCGATTCTCTGGGAACGTTCAGCTGTCAGGGAAGCTAAGGACCGGCCCGGGCAGGCCGGGCCCACGAGGTGCAGCGGGGCGTGCTGGCATCGTTCAGATCGGCACTGCTCCCGCTCAGACCACAGGCTGGAGAGCAAGAGGGCAGGAAACGAATCTCATTCTAGAAACACGGACACACAAACCTCGCACTACAGTTAACAAAATCCAAAAATCTTTGTTTTGTTTTGGTGGCAGATTCGAAGGAGTAAGTACTCTCTGCTTTTCGTATTAGGAAAAAGAAGACAACAAAATTGTCCTTTTATCTAGAATTATTTCAGGGGATGAATAAACAACAGGCAGATTCTGACAGCAGTGGAGTTTCATTTTCATTCTCGCACTTCTCATCCTACAACCATTTATTTAGCAGTGAAAACCGTGTGAAGCACTAGCTATGAGGCTCTCAGCAGCCTCTCCCCAAATCCCCACCAGAACCAGCCACCTTTTCGTACTGGGCACTGGGGCTTAAACGAAGCATCGACGCCATCTCTGCAGTGGTTTGCGCCCGCGTGAAGGACGGAGAGTCCGCGGAGCCGGCCTGGGCGCGACCCGCAGGCTGGGCGCCCCGGTCCACCTGCGGCCCCGGTGTCCGGCAGCTACTGCTGCTTGGCCTGCCTCTCGCGGTACTTGCTGTAGGCCTCCTCGAACATGGCTTTACAGGAGAAGCGGGCCTTCAGCTTGGAGCAGATGAGGAAGGAGCCCCCCATCTTCCGGTGCAGGGAGTAGGTCTCCTCGGGTGGGGGGACGAGGCGGTGCTTCAGCATGATGGGAATCAGGTTGTGGATCTTCTCGGTGGTGCTCTGGGTGCCAAAGTCAAAGGGCTCGTCTGAGGCAAAGGCCTCCCCGAGGATGAGGATGGCATCCAGGTGGGCGTCTTCCATGACCTGGGGGGAAGACAGGAAGGGTAAATGGCAACAAGATTCAAGAGCCCTCCACGTGGCCATGGGCTTCCTCCCACGGTGCCCCAAGTCCCGAGCGCTCACTGAACGCCCTGCTCAGAAGTTGAGAGCAGTGTCAGGCAGGTGAGGGTTTTGTTTTTAACCAGATTAAAAAATGGTAACAGTGGCATAAACTTAAACCCACAGGAGCCAGGAAAACAACATTAATGTGTGAGCTGGGCTGATGCAAGACCAAAGGGAGTGGTGGGGCCTGGGGCAGAAGGCAGAACATGAGCCCCGCGCAATGGCGCCCAGTTGCAAAGTGTTTACAAAACCTCTTTGGGCCAAAAAGAGCAGAGTTCATGGGCCTGAGTTGGTGGCATCCACCTGCCATGCACGACCTGCAAGCCTGCCAGAGCGCGCCCAGGACAGAGCTCGGTGCTGGGTGTCTGCTGCGCGGAACTGGCAGCTAACGGAGGAACCTGAGAAGTAACTGAGTCAGCAGAGCGTGGGAGGCGCAGGCCTGCCGCGGCTGCTTGGAACGGTGGGGCAGGGCCAGGAACCCAGCCAGCTCACAGTGACGCGGCCGTGAGGAGATTGAGGGCTTCTGGGGTAAGTATAACCCACTCCCTTCTACAGCCGAGCTGGGGCAGCTCAAAGACACTAATTTGCCTAAAATGGCACTCTGACTCGGTGGTGAACACAAGACGTGACCTGGATCTCAACCCCTTCCCCACTGTCAAGAAGAGGTAAGTGCTGCTTTCTGAGTGCCTTCTGGATGACAGGGACACAGAGCGTCCGTCCCCCTTTATTTAAAGCACTGAGACTTCGCCCATCTCCTCACCCTCCCCAGGGAGGCCTCACAAGGGTGTCCAAGGCGTCCCCTCCCCTCCCGCTGCCGTCCTCCAGCTCGCACTAACACGGCTCTAGGAGGGCAACAGCGGGACGCAGAGACAGGAGCCTCACAAGTCCCCCAAGCACCCGGCTCAACTGCCACTTGGAAGATGTCACAGAGTACAGAGGCATCGGGCCCTTGGACTGTGAGGCCCCAGCACTGGGGAGACGCCCAGGAGTGGCTGTCCCTTGCGCTTTCATCCGTTACGTACGGAGGTTCCACTTCAGGTTTCAAAGGGAAAAGTGGTCCATGCCTGCCCTCCCCGCCGACGCGCACCCTGGCCCCGCAGGGCCTTGTGCAGCCCCCAGGAGACGCTGCTCACCTTGACCTCATAGCCAGTGAGGAACTTCATCTCTATGGACTTCGTCCGCACGGCCTCCCTGTCCCTGTCAGCAGCAGCCCTGATGATCTGGGCAGAAGCACAGGAGGGACCCGTGGGGCAGGACAGACAGAAAAAGGAGACATCCCAGGAGACAAGTGCCAAACCCACCTTCGTCCTTCCTCTCCCTTTGCAAGACCCTGGCCTGTGAGCCTGCACACTGTCACCAGACCTGGAGCCCGGTTCTGCTCCGAGTCCCCAGCATCTTGTCCCAGCCTCAGAAAAACCTGAGCCAAGGCCAGGGCCACTGTCCTGACCTTACCTGAATGTAGAGGTCAGTGAAGGATCTGTCATATTCACGTGTTGCCCCGAAGTCCAAAAGAGCCACCTGGGGTGGAGACACCAGGGGAAGGTTCCTAGTCCAGGCCAGGGGTGTGGGGCGGGGAAGGGTGGATACGGCAGGGGGTGGGTCTCTTCAGGGCCGAGCTAAGACCCCGAGATGCCACAACCCTTTACTCTGCTGACTTTCCCGGGACGAGGGCAGGCCAGGGGCTCACGCGCCCCCTACAGAGAAGCTCTCGGGCCCAGCTGAAGGTGCCCCTTCCCAGGGGCTCACCTTGTGCTGCTGGGGGTCATAAAAGAAGTTGGACCAGTTGGGGTCTGTCTGCATGAAGTGGAACTCGAACAGCTCCCTCAGGCACAGAACCAGGATGTTGTAGCAGATCTAGGGACAGGGCAGGGGTCCTGCATCAGGCAGCGCCAGGTGACCCGGTGCCTGGGAGTCAGAGAAATCCCCGACTCCTGTAGCATCCCACCCTCTGTACAAGTGACTGTTAGATGGCCAGTGTCGCCTGGGTGGAAGAAGGTAGCAGCTTCCCTCCTGTCCCCTTAAGTCCCACTGGTGCTCCTTCACACCCCACCCTGCCACAGGGAGCACCTCAGGGCGTGCACAGCAGGGACACCCAGCCCCCATGCTGCCCCGCCCACACAGACACCTCATTCCGAATCTCCTGACTCAGCCCTTCTGCCTGGTCCAGGGGGAAACCAGACACCAGCTCTGTGGTCAGCACGTGGGGGCTGCACAGCTCGTCCACAATCTCGGGCACGTAGAAGAAGGGGTGGTCCTTCAGCAGCTCCCTGCGTGGGGGTGGGTGGTCACACACAGACCCTCCCCGCCCTCCCCACTGGGGATGGCCACCAGGCAGAGGGCCCTGCTTTGCGCTGGGCCCAGGCTGTGACCCCAGCCATCTGCCCCTCAGAGCTGGAGGAGTCTTCACCCACGACAGTGCCTAAAGCGGCCCTCTGCCTCCCTGGCGGGAATCTCAGGCAAGGGGCTGGCGAGGAGCTGCACCTGAACTTCTTGGCACAAGCGGCCTCCCGCTGGTAGTCACACTCGAGGGCCAGCTCCCGCTTCAGCACGTCGATCAGGTGCTCGGGGAACAGGCCTGGCCGGGAGAAGGACACCAGGTAGGCGGGGGCTCTTGGGGGAGGCGGTCCCCAGTCCCCATCTGAGCACCTGCCACCCACTCTCGCCCTTGACCAACAGCCCAGCCTCAGACCTTCCGGAAGCATGTTGCTCATGTTCAGCACCGCCATGAGGTTGTTGACATCACTGTTGATGCTCTGGGCCACGCCAGGGTACTGCAGGAAGCAGGGGGTGTTATCCCAGGCAGAGGGGGTCCCACTGCCTGTTGGTGTCCCCGCTATGTCCCAGCCCCACCCGCCTTGGAGAAGCAGAGCCGGGAGCCGGCGATGCTGCCGTGACTCCCGGCCCTTCACGACCTTGCTCTCCATCTACCCCCACCCCATCTCCAGGAACAGCCACCAGCGCAGGCCCCCAAAGGCAGATGATCGCTTGTCTCCTGTCCCCAGCGCCCCCAAGCTGAGCTTGCTGGGAGGCTGCTCCACCCCCCAGTCACTCATTCAGCAAACACTTGAGCTTCCAGTGCCCACCAGGCGCTAGGGACAGACAGACACTGGAGACACGGGCCCCGCCTGGGAGAAGAGGAGCCCTGGGGGATGTGGGGACAAGTGCATGCACACACCAGGGCACCTACCTGGATCTTCATGGCCACCTCGCGGCCACCCTTCAGGCGGGCCAGGTGCACCTGCCCGATGGAAGCCGCGGCGAAGGGTCGCTCCTCAAAGTACTCCAGCTTGTCTTTCCAGTTGGGCCCCAGGTCGTTGTTGAGAGTTTTCTGGAGGGAAAGGCCAAGGAGGGGTCGTGACCATGGCCTCGCCTCCTGGGACACCCCGAGCAGCAGCCACACCCCAGATGCCCCAGCGCCTGCCTCACCGTCATCTGCTTGAGTGGCATGAAGTCAGCGCTCTGCCGCACGCGCTCGAAGATCTTGGCCAGGTGGGGGTTGATGAAAGCGTCGTCTGGAAGGCAGGAGAGACGTCAGGGCTGAGGGCCAACCGCTGACGATGGCACAGGGGCCCGGAGCGGAGCGACCACCCGGCCACGCCTGGCACAGCGCAGCCTCGCCTCTCGCCATGCTGGAACCAAGGTTCAGACACGACACGCAACAGGCCCAGCCTCAATTCCTTTTCCTGCCTTGGGAGCCTCTTTCCCACCTGGCATGTGGGCTCCTGCGGCTGCGGACAAGGCGCCTCAGCAGGGACCCCAAGCCACAATGACCTAGGGCGGGCGCACTCTTGGGGCCCGGCGGCCAACAGCTAAATCCAGAGACAGATGCCCCCCAGCCCCTCAGCCACCCCATCAGGGGCCCCAACGTCGGGAGCCCCAGGACCGGGCGTCACACAGCGCATGAGTGCTCAGCCACAGGGCACAGCTGGGGACCCTGAATTCACCCCTGCAACCTGAGAAAGTGCGCTTTTTGGACGATACACGTGTAGTTCTTTATGGTTATGAAAGAAACAAGTCTAGAAAATAAAGTACAGTAAAACGTTAAAATTACCCATTATCTGACCACCTCCGGAGAACTCTTTTTTTCATACCTGATGTCACATGTATGGAGGCTATTCTAGCTTTTCTCGGGCAGCGTTCTCTCGTGAACACTTCCCTGTGTGCTTAAACAGCCTTCCGAAACGTTCTGGAATGGCACTGTCACCAGCAGCGTAATGCCACGGGCAAGGCCCCCGCGTCTGCTGCTTGCCTCGGTTTCCATCACTCTGCTGTCGCGGGGAGTCCCATGATGAAGCTCCTGGCACAGCCCTGACCCCACCTCTGAGTCTTTCCTCAAGGTAGTTACGAGCTGTGGGATTCCCGGAGTTTCGGGACTTGAGCACCAAAGGATTCCGGATCCGGGCGGCACCCCACACCCTCGCCACGGCCACCCCGGTGCTGACGACTCCTGGCTTAGTGCTGGCCAGTTCGTGGGCCCACCTGACTGCTGTGAGCATGGACTTGCCTCCCCCGCCCCCGTTCAGCACCAGCCTCGTGGCCACTCCCGCGTGCTGGGTTCCACTGGAGGCCTGAGGCTCCCCCAGGGCCAGCTCTGCTCTTGGGGCCACGCTGAGCCAGCCCCTTCTCGGCCGCTGCCGCCTCCCCCAGCCCCCCTCCCGTGATCACACCCCCACATCCCCAGCGCCACGCCGTGCACGCCTGTGAGCCCCCCACTGGCTCCCGGGGCCCACACAGCCGGACCCTCGCCAACTGTGAGATGCCAGCACGACCTCGGGGCACATCAAACACCCGGAAAGCAAGAAAAACAACTGTGGGCTCCCACATGTGACACTTTTTTTAAACATCCCCACACAGTCCAGCCTCCCAGGATAAGTTCAAACCAGAGGGGCCAGAAAATACCCTCCAGCGCACCCACATCTGGCCCCCGAGCTCCCCCTGAGCCAAAGCGCTGTGCCCTGCCCCACCTGGCGGCCGGTGTCACCCCCGCCAGCCACTCACCCTGGATGCTCAGCATCTGGCCCAGCTTGAGTGCCGCCCCGCGCACCTTGCAGAGCGTGCGCACGATGCGCTCGGCGTTCGCCTCCGACAGGAAGGGGCTGGAATCCAACACGGACTTCTTCCCTGTGAGCGGGAGGGGTCACCACGGCCCTCACGGGGGGCTCGGAGTTTGACAGGAAAAATTCCGGCACGTGCGCACATCTCCACGTTCCATACCCACCTCCCCCAGCCCAATCCGGGCCTTCTTGGCAGCCCCTCCACAAAGCTGGCCGACCCAGCAGGCATGTCCCCTGCCCCGGGCACGGGCGGCTGTGAGAATGACCTGAGGGAGCCAGGATGGGCCCAGGGCACAGTGGCAACCCCCAAGTCAAGAGGTTCTCCTGGGGCGGAGAGCAGCAGTGTGGTCAGTGTCCCAGGCCAAGGGGGTCCAGGGCCTGGTCAGAAAGCTGGAGCACAGCTTGGGGGCTGCCCAGGGCCACCCCCACACTGGCCTAAGCCCCAGGTCCTACTCTCAGGGCTAATGGTGCCTGAGACCCTGAGCCCCCAGCCTGAGGTCACTACTGTCTCTGACAAAGGACACCAACTGGAACCTTGGAGCCAGCCTGGCCCTCTTCCCTGCTTAGGCAAGGCAGGACGGAAAGCAGCCAGCTTGGCAGGGGAGGGCGTGGGGGCGCAGGATTGTTGTTCCTGGGGAAGGCTGGCTTCTCCTTCCAGAGAAGCCCAGGCTTCATTTCCCAAAGGCTTTCAGCACCAACGCTAAAAATACCCTCGCTAAACCCTCTGTCCTCTGGCCTCCTCCAAGGATATACGTGGTGCCCTGTGTCTCCTGTACCCGAGGGCCTGTGGGGATGGGCTTGTGGGTGAAGGGGAGGCCGTCCTGGCAGCCAGGGCTGGGGGGCTGCAGTGCGGCAGGACAGGTGTCACGGGGGGTGGAGGTGCGAGACACCAGAATGAGCTGACATCCCCTGAATGGGCCAGCGGCAGGGGAACCCAGTCCAGAACTGCAAACATGTCTCAAGAAATCCACCAAGCGGACGGCTCTACCAGCTGCTCTCAACAGCCCCAGGCCCTGCTACAGGGAAGCCCACGGGTAGACTTCACACCACCCTGGCCCACCCGCACCTGGGGAGTCAGCTCCTCTCGGGCAGACAGCACCGCCGGCTCTGCAGAACGCCACGGTGCAGAGCCTTCCCACAGAGGGCCCGGGCACAGTGGCCACCCAAACTAGGTGCGGCGACTATTCTCACGGGACCGCAGGCCTGGGCCTGGACTGCAGAGCACAGAGAGGCTGTGGTCTTTGCCTCAGAGGCACTGAGTCGGTGAGAAGGACCTAGTGGGGTCTGTCCCAAAAGCATACCCCCCCACCCCGCCACCCACCCCCCTCGCCCGTCTGGGGTGCCTGACCCAGCCAGACCAGGGCCCCAGCAGCCCCTGGAGAGCAGGGCAGGAAGTGAGTGCAGGAGCGAAGGCGGGGTGTGGGCGTGCAGGTGGTGTGTGGACAGCCACAAGGAGCCAGGAAGGGGCCGGGCCGGGTGACCACTGGGGCTGGGGGGGAGTGGCCTTCCGGCCACAAAGCAGGCAAATCTGTCCAAACAGCCTCCCACCCCAGGGCGCCGCCGACATGGAATGCCACGTTGAGTGCGGGCTGGGGCTGAAGGGCTGGCGCCTCCCAGGGCCCACACTGCCCCCCCACTCAAGGCCCCAGCTCACCTGTGGGGTCCTCAGGGCGGAGGCTCTTCTTGGCAACCTCAGCCAGGGCCCCAAAGCCCAGGCCCACGGCCAGCCCTGCAGGGAAGAGGTGCGGGCTCAGCGCTCACGGGGCTGGGGCAGCACCACGCAGACGCGGCTCGCACCAGGCACCCTCGCGGACTCACCAGCGTGTTGAAAAGGGGTGAAAGGTGGCAGATACTCACCTGTTGTCTTAAGCTGACATTTGCTGTGGAAAAGCTTCACGCATCCCCCGCCCCACGTTTGACAATCTACAGGCTCCAGGCACAGACGCGCCCGAGCAGCGTAAGCCGGGAAGCTCCTCAGGAGGCCCCAGCACACACAGGCAGAGGGACCAGCGGTGGTCCGGGGCCGAGGACATCCTAACAACACAGGGCACCCCCTGGAATGCCACCGGCCGCTTCAGATCTGCATGAAGCGCCTCCAATGATCCAGAGCTTCGACTCGCCGTAGCAGGAACGGCATCACCACAGGTACGGTGGTGGCAGTCGAACATTTTGCGAAAGACGGGGTGTCTCCAACCCAAGCCCTGGGGACTCACAGGGCTCAGGAGTGGGAGGCCCCTCGCCCACCTGCCCTCCAGGCTCGCAGACAATGACAGTGGTCTGAGGGCCCCAGGGTACCAGGCCCCTCCGTCCCCACCTTTTGAAATTTTCTAAAGCCAAGTTCGTTAGCACCTCACTTGTCCAAAAATCAATCACTGGGTGATCCCAGCTGTTCAGTAGAAGCCCCCACGCCCCCCACAGGAGCCTGGCAGGTGCTGCTAAGGCCACGCCTCACTCAGGACCGACGTCCTCTCACTTTAAACCCAGTTCCGCTTCCCGGGCCAGGCACGTGCGAGCAGAGCGGAGGACGCACGGTGAGCTGGCGGACCGCACCGGCAGCGGGAGCCTGGAGCCGCCCCTGGACGGCACCACCCCCAGCCTGCACCCCACCGCGCACCCTGTTCACAGGGCAAGGAAACCAGCACGTACTTCTATACTGCCAAGTTTCCTACAATGATTATGCATTACTTTTATGAAAAATATTGAACTTATTGAAAAATTTATTTAATGAGAAAAATGTTTTAAATCAAAAGATAACTCCATTTCAAGAAAAAGTTTTCGCAACACATTTTACCCGCCACTAGGCAACAGTGCAACCTCCACGCCACCAGCTGTAATAGCCGTTCCTGCTTCACAGGCTGTTGTGAGGACTGAACGATTTAGTAAGGGTAAGGTGCTTACCCGGGGCCGGACGCACGGTAATGCTATAAAAGAGCTATTAGTTATGGTCACTCCTACTCAAAATGGTTAGACTAGTGCTGAGCAAAAGAAACACAACGTGAGCCACATATATAATTTTAAATTTTCTAGTGGCCATACTGAAAAAGGCAAGAAGAACATGTAAAATGAATTTTAATAATATAGTTTACTTAACCCAACATATCCAAAATATTATCATTTCAACAAGTAATCGATATAAAAACTACTAGAGAGATGCTACACCTGCGCGTCCGTGCGCCTGGTCTCTGAAGCCCAGCGTGCATCTTACACGCACGGCGTCTCACCGCGAACAGCCACTGTTCAAACACTCAGCGTGGCCAGCGGCTGCTGCACAGCACACCGCGGGCAGAACAAGCCACGCTCTGGCCATCCCGGAAGCTGCCGTGGTTATTTGAAATGGCCTTTAGGTGTGACAGCACACCTCATCAAGGACATGGTGGCATACTGGGATGGAGGTGCCAGGGTGTGGGTGCCTGGCGGGGACACCAGCTGTGTTTTCTCTCTGCACTCTCCGCAGAGCCCACTGGCACAGAGCTGGCAGCCAGAGCCCCTGATTAAACATTAACCCTGCCCCCCAGCCCCACCCTGCCAGCACACTATCAGACTTGGCAAAATAAACGACAACAGCAACATTAACCTTCACACTGTAGCGACCTTCACCAGTGCCTCAGCATCTGGATTCTCTCTTCCTGGAGCGGGTCCAAACACAAGCCTACGAGAGAGGCAGACAGCCCACGGGTTCTCCAGCCCAGCAGCTACAAGATGATGCCAAGGTGGGCGTCGTGGGGCCAGCTGGGCCATGCTGAGCCCCTCCTTCTACCTCCTCCTGCAGGCAGAGGTGTGTCCCCCACGCCCCAGCTGGACCCCTTCAAATGCTCCATCACATTATTTTCTGCCCATTTCTCAGCTCCCAGGCAGAGCCAAAGCTCGCCAAAGGACAGGACCCACTATTAAACAAATCGCCCCAGGAACATTCCACAGGGGAGGCCTCAGGCTCCTTCTGTGGCCCTACACGTCCCTCAGGACCAGCCTGGCACCAGGCCAAGGCACTGCCGACACACGGACAGGCAGGCAGTCATCAATATAAGAACCTGGGGAGAAAACAAGCCGGGCCGCTGGCAACCGTGACCTTGGCCTCTAAAGCTCCTGCTCAGTGAAGCCAGAATAACCTGGCCGCCACCCTGCCCACGAGGCCCTGGCTTGACCCAATTCTCAGGAGCCCCAGGCTGGGCTCTTCCCTCACTCAGACCCAGGTGGTACCTGGAGGCGACTCCGGGAAGACAGATGCCACAGGCTGGGACTCCCCAGGTCCTCGTGAGGACCCCACTCTCACCCCGAGCCCGTCAGGACAGGGCGCGCCTGTCCCTGTTCTGATCCACCTCCTGAGAGGCCTCCCAGCCTGGCCCGAGTGGCCAGCAAGGAAGACCTGCGGGGAAACCAGCCACAGAGCCCGCTCTGGGCTTTAAAGCCACTGTCAGCAGCCTGGCTTCCCTCCTGGCCTGTTCCAAGAAAGTTCCAGACATTTCTCTCACAAAGGGAGGTTTTGCAGTCAGGGCTGAGGGGAAGCAGCAGGGAGCAGGGCTCTGCCCTGGGCAGGAGCACACGGGGCCAGCGGCCCGGGTTGCAGGCCTGCTCCGTGTGACGTCTGGAGGTCGCCAGAGCCAAACAAGGCCTCCTCTCGAGCAGTCACCTGGCTTTCTGTCCAGACAGACACCAGAGGCTAAAAGAAGCAAAAAATAAAACACCAGCAAACAGGGCCCTTCCTCAGTAGGCTGGGGGCAAAGCACTTCTGAGCAGCGACTCGGTAACGTCCCTGTGGCTGCGGCGTCGCCCGCCAGGGGCTGCTGGCGCGTGCGCAGAGCAAGGCTGGTGTCTGCAGCAGCGAGGGGCAAAGCTGCATCTGAGGATAAACAGCCACGTGCCAGCGCGCTGTTCCATGCCTCACTTCATCGACCACACTCCCCATCTCTCCGACCCAGGGAGACGAGAAGGCCCATGTGCAAAGGCAGCGGGACGGGACCCCTTCCCTTGCTTCTAGGTGTTCTGGAACCTCAGCCATCCGTCTCCTTCTGTCTCCACCTGGCGTCCTCCAGCCGCCCAGCACCAGAGGAGAAACAGGAAAGGGGGAGGGGAGTTCCCTGTGGCTTGTTCTCGAAAGTTCTCAGGAGCTGACCCTCAATTTCCCGAACTGGACTAGTGCGGGAGGGAGAGACCTAACACGGCCCCTCGGAGGACCACTCTGTGTCACCTGGTCAGGCTGGGACTTCCAAGTGCCCGACCCAGGCCTGGGCTCCTGTCCCAGGTCACCAGGAAGCACACGGCCCTGGGCGACCGGCCGACTTCCTGGCTCAGCCTCCTCATCTGTATCTGAAGAGAATAATAACCGCCCTTGTCTCCAGCACAGAGCTTCTGAGGAGTGAAATAGGCAGAAAAGCCCCTGATTTTCAAAAATATTCCTGAGAAAGCAGATAGACTGCACTCCCACACCCATGCGGAGGGTGCAGAACTTTTCTCCCGTCTAGAGTGCATCTATCTTACCGCAAAGTGCACCCAGAAGAGCGCTGGCACCACAGGAAGCGTGGCACGAGCCCCCAGTACATCAGGCTGCTGTCACTGCATGCCGCTCCTTTGGGGCGGCCAGAGCAAAGCTGGCCTTGTACACAGCGCCGTCAACAAGGGTACCATGCCAGCAGGTCAGAGCGTACAGACCTGCCACAGGGGGTGTGGACACTCCCACCTCTACCAGCCCTGAGGTCCCAGTCAAGGGGTCCAACAACCCTACCACTGTGGGATGGCTCTGCAAGGCCTGCTAAGCCACCGCAAGGTCTCAACCAGTGTCCGGAAACCAGGGGAAGGTAGCGAGTCTTTCACAAAACTAAGTTATTCAATTTATTATCCTTTATCCTGGAACATGTTGTTTGCATTGTTAAAATGTCCTTTAAGAATGACAAATAAAATGATGGTAGTGTTGTTTCTCTGTTTTTGAGACAGAGTCTCGCTATGTCTCCCCAGCTAGAGTGCAGTGGCATTATCATAGCTCACCGCAACCTCCAGCTCCTAGGCTCAAGTGATCCTCCTGCCTCAGCCTCCTGAGTAACTGGGACTACAGGTGTGCACCAATACACCCAGCTAATTTTTCTATTTTTATTAGACATGGGGTTTTACTCTTGCTCAGGCTGGTCTCGAACTCTTGACCTCAAGTGATCCTGTCACCTTGGCCTCCCAGAGCGCTAGGATTACAGGCGTGAGCCACTGCACCTGGCCAATGTTTTCTTTTAAATGTTCTCACTTAGCAAAATTAAGAATACCCATCCAAGCCCATTCACCCAATGCTTGTTGGTTTTTAATTTTACCACAGAGATGGAAACACAAAAGTTCAGGGAGAAGGGACACAACGAACCCAGAGCTTTGTGCTGATACGTTAACAGTACCCCCAGGTATATCAGAATTTTGGGGAAATTAAGCAACAATAGCTATCAGCTCTGTGTTTCAACCTAAGGAATGTCTGTTTTCTAACATTAAGAGAGAACATTCTTATGTTACCACCTTACCCTCTTAGGAAACCCAATGGAATCTCAAACTATTTTTAAAAGCAAAGTACGTTTCTAAGAATGAGGAACCCTTAGCTTTATACCTTTTAAAAATAATGCAATTCCCAGGGTTCCATTCCCTCTACTCTTCATTCCTGGTCCACAGACATGCTTTTACTCATACCAATACCTCTTTCCTTTTATAATCAAATTTCAAAATCCTTTCTACACAGAATCTAATGGCATTATCCACTTCCTATTT